CATAAAAACATAAAACAATTAAAACAATACAAATAAATATATTTGGCAGGCACATAACCAGGTCTTCATAGACTTATGAAAAGCCAATGGGGTCAGGGTCATACTAATCTCTGAAGGGAGAATGTTCCAGAGGGCAGGGGCTATGGCAGAGAAGGCATGTCTCCTAGTCCCTGCCAGCTGACAATCTTTGGCTGACAGGACCTGTAACATGCTCAGCCTGCCAGACCGAGTTGGATGGGGAGAAACAACTGGGAGAAGATGGTCCCTTAGGTAACACGGTCCCAAGCCATGAGGGCTTTAAAGGTGACAACCAGCACTTTGAATTGCACCTGGAAGCACACTGGCAACCAATGCAGCTCACATAGCAGTAGTGTTACATGTGTCGAATATCTGACACCATTTACTATCTGTGAAGCCACATTCTGTACCAGGTGAAGCTTCTGAATGCTCTTCAAGGGCAACTCCATGTGAAGTACATTGCAGTAATCCAGATGAGAGGTCACAAGGGCATGATTGACTGTGAGCAAAGCCTCCCAGTCCAGCAATTGGCGCACAACCCAAAGGTGTGCAAAGGCCCTCCTAGCCACTGCTGCCACCTGCTCTTCTAGCAGGAGCCGTAAGTCCAAGAGAACCCCCAGATTGCGCACTGGGTACATCTGGGGCAGTGCCACCCCATCAAGGACCAATGATGGAAAAACCTTGTCACCGGAAGGCCCAAATACCCAAAACCACTCAGTCTTGCTTGGGTTGAATTGAAGCCCATTGCACCCCATCCAAACCCTTACAGCCTCCAGGCACTGGGACAGGACACCCACAGCATCACTCAGGCAGCCTGGGGTGGAGATATAAAAATCATCAGCATATTGATGATACCTCACCCCAAACCATCGGGTCACCAATATGCCCAGTGGCCTCATGTAGATGTTAAATAGGAGAGGAAAGAGAACTGAGCCCTGGAGCACCACACAAAGTAGGAGATGCGGCCTGGATCTCTTCCCCCCCACCATCAAAACTGACTGGATCTGACCCCAGAGGAAGGAGGAGAACCAGCACAACACAGTGCTGCCCACCCCCAACTCCCAAAGCTAGTCCAGAAGGATACCATGATTGAGGGTATCGAAGGCTGCTGAGAGGTCAAGAAAAGCAAGGATGGCCACACTGCCCCCATCCTGCTCCTGCCAAAGGTCATCTAAGAGCATGATCAGTGTTGTCTCAGTCCTGTAACCCAGCCTGAATCCTGACTGAAAAGGGTCCAGATAATTCACTTCATCCAGGGTCCTCTGTGGCTGCCACGTGACCACTTTCTCTACAACCTTCCCTAAAAAGGGGAGGTTGGAGACTGGACAAAAACTGTCCAGACTGACTGAGTGAAGCAATGGCCCATTGAGAGGGCACGCCACCGCCTCCTTAAGAGCCAGCCGAATCACCGCCTCTCTCAAGGAATTAACCACTGTCCAAACCAATCATGCCTCCCCTCCTAGGCAGCCTTAACCAGCCAGGAGGGACACAGATCTAACACAGAAGTGGCCAAGCTAACAGCTGCCAGAGCCCTGTCCACTTCCTCAGGTGCAATGGGATCGAACTCCCCCCAGATAATCATGCAAGACTTAACCCCCACAGCCTCCACTGGTGCTGCCCTAAAGCTGGAGTCCAATGTAGAGCAGATGCGAGTGACTTTATGTGCTAGATGTGCAGCATATTCCTCACATCAACCCTGTAGGTGAAACCCAATATTACTCCCTCCAAGGAGGGACTGGATCACCTGAAATAGGGCCACCAGGTGACTATCTGCAGATACAACGAGGGCAGAGAAATAATCACATTTCGCTGCTCTTACCACCACAAGGTAGGCTCTAAATAGTGGGTCTAGCTCATGTTCAATTATCTTTGTTCCCCATCTTCCACCAGTGGTGCTCTAGGTATCTCTTAGCCCTTTTAGTTCCTTCAGCTTTTCTGTATGCCATGGAGAGACAGGGAACCGTGGACAGAGTGGGCACTCAGGCACAATCTGGTCCAAAACCACAGCTGCTCTCTCATTCCATGCAGCCACCGAGGCTGCGGTCGGACCATGTAGCAGATTTCCTTGGACAACCCCAAGCTCCCTCTAAAAACCAATCAAGTCCATTAGGCCCCTGGGGGGGGGGGGCAATCTAATAGGCCCAGCCTTCCTGTGAAGTGGGGTGGCGCCAGAGAATTGGAGGCTCACCAGGAAGTGGTCTGACCATGACAGGGGAGAAACCAATATCTCCCCCAATTTCAGAACGCCCTGCCACTGCTCTGACAGAAAAACCAGGTCGGGCGTATGACCACTATTATGTATCAGGCTATGGATGACTTGGGACAGGCCCATGGCTGTCATGGTGGCCATGAACTCCTGTGCTACAGTACCTCACACCCCATGCCCAGAAAAGACAAGTTGAAGTCCCCCAAGACCATGAGCCTGGGTAACTCCTCTGCCAACCTGGCCATGGAGTCAAGAAGCTCAGACAGGGAGGTTGCTACACAGCAGGGAAGCAATAGCAACAGTCCCAATTGATCCCTCTTAGTGCCCAACTTAATAAATAGTGCCTCACGCCCGACAGTCTAAGGAGCAGTGCCCCTGGATGCTTCCCAAGTATCTCGGATGACCATTGCCACCCCATTGCCCCTACCCTGGGATCTTGGCTGGTGCCACACCTAGAACCCAGCTGGGCATATGTCAGAGAGAGGAACATCTCACCCCCTCCTGTCCCAGCCAGGTCTCAGTAATGCATGCCTGGTCAGCCTTTTCACTAACAACCAGGTCATGAATAAGAGTAGCCTTGTTACAGACCGACCTGGCATTCAGCAGCAGCAGCCAACAACAGCAGGGACTTGAAAATCTACCACCCAGGGCCTGGGAGCAAGTTCAAGGTGTTGGAACATGCCACAGAAACAATATACAGTACCTGTGGCACATTCCCTGTGAGCAGCTCACCCCGCATCTCCCATCATAACTCCCCCTAACCCTCACTACTGAGATGAAACAACCTGCCCTCATCCCTTCAGAGCCGTCCCCACTCCCCTGTCCATAAAGGTCCATGCTCAGGTTCACACACCCCACCCCACTCACACAGTCTACAATCAAACCAGTAAGGGGCTCCCTAATACCTGAGGCACTTCTGTAGTATTCAGCACTCAGTGCCTCCAACTAATCAGGGATCACCTCACCTCATCCCCCATCTACCAACCGTACCATGCCGTCAGTTAGTCCCCTCTCACCAGACTGCTTAAGCCCCGATTGCACATTCCTGATGATTCAAAGAAACCCCCTCCCCTGGCTCTCACCAGTGGGAAGGTGGACAGAATCACAAACCACAACCTAAAACTTTCCAACTTGATGACTAGTCCCATTCCAATTTAATCCTTTCAATCAAGTCCTCTTGGGTCATGATGACTACTGATTAAAACAGACCACGCAGATGGCTGTTACCAATGCTTTCTGGCTCTCCATCACAAGGCAGGCAAAATGGCTACCCAATCATGTGGGGGAAGGAACTGCAGCCACAGGGCCCTGGAAGCTACAACCAGCCTGGTCCAGCCTTGCCTCTGCCACAGCAAAACCCCTCATCTCCTCGCAACCACAAGGGAAGAAAGAAAAGATAGCCCTCATCTACACTCCAGCACCACCGTCCTCCTCATCTTCCCTGCTTCCCAGCACAGTCCCTTCTGCAGGCCAATAGGCACTTCCTCCATCATCGGTGCTGTCCTCCTTCCCACCGCTGCATCACCAATCATTGCAAAACGTATGGAGCGATTCCCGTGAGAAACAGCCAATCCGAGCACCTGGTGGTCCAACAATCCAGCCACCACTGCCAGGCCAGTTCTCCAAGCCATGATCCAAGTAAGGGAAAGAGCCCCAGGCACCACACGTGATCCCATTCCAGGCCATCAAACAGCCCAGCAAGAATTATAAGCTGTATGGGCCAGATACAAATACCCAGAAAATAGTTTGTTTACATGCTGCTTCTTGCACTGTTCGTTGAAATTTGCCCTTAGTTTCAGGTAAATGTTTTACAGGTAGGCATCAATTTATAACCATTCATTTAGTGACCATTCAAAGTTACGACTTCACTGAAAAAAGTGACTTACAACTGGTCCTTGTATTTGCAACCGTCACAGTGTCCCCATGGTCACGTGATCAAAATTCAGGTGCTTGGCAACCATCACGTCTTTACGACTGTTGCAGCATCCCAGGGTCATGGGATCACCATTTGTGACTTTCCCAGCCAGCTTCCAACTAGCAAAATCAGTGGGGAACCACATGGTTCACTTAACAATCGCAGCAATTCATTTAATGACCGCTGCTAAAAATGTCATAAAACTAGGTGTGGTCACATGAGGCCTCACTTAACGATGAATTTTCCAGTCCCTCTTGTGGTTGTAAGTCGAGGACTACCTGTAAATGCAAAAGTGTCAACCTTATCATGTTGGCCTTCAAAAACACATCCCACCATTCTATCACTTCTTAACATCAGTGACCTCTCTCAGCATATTGTACTTAAACTGAACAGTAAGCAAAATTAAACACAGTAAATGCTGACAAAATCAGGAATTCATGCAAAAGAAACACAGATTTGAGCAGCATCACAACAGAAAAGCCAGCTAGACCAGCTCCATCTGGGCATTTTTTTATTTACAGTTATTTATATACCAGTCTATTCCATAAGACACCAGGTAATTAAAAACAAATAAAACAAGCAAAACCACATAATGATTAAACAATTAAAACCCCATTCCTTCCAAAACCAATAAAATAAAAAGAGAAGGATGCAACAGAAAATAACTAGCTTCCAGCACTTATCCATCAATGGTGACCACTTCTTATTCTCCAAAGGCTTTCAGTAATAAAACTGTTTTACTGCATTACTGAAAAAGACAGGGTAAGGGAGATCAAACCTCTGAGGGAAGGCTATTCCAAACAGTCAGGTCATGACTAAGGATTGCCACATTCTGCCTCAGCTGTAGTTTCTGGAAAGTCTTCAAAGGCATCTCAGGTGTAGTGGTTTGTAGTAGTTCAACCTGGCAGGGATGAAGGCATGAATTATTGTTGCCAGTGCCTTAGTTTCATTATCCTGGACTTGCAAAATGTTAAAACCCAATTCCCCATAATCCAAGAAGCCTATTTACCCAGTCATGGCAACCACCCCTTCATGTATTATTTCTCCCTTGCCACTCTTAGGGATTGAGGAAAAGTTTAGCGTGCATATGTTTGTACAACATGCTAACCCTGAGGGCCTGGTTAACAAGTCCAAGTGTACCATCATTTTTATTACTCACTCACTTCAGGCAGAGCCAGGGGCTCATTGTGTTTGCTGAATCTGGAGTGGTCACCACTTGGAGTTATGGAAATTGGAATTTAAACCTATGAAAAGCCTTGTTTGCAAATTCTAGTTTCTGTCAACTTAAAGTTGTGACCTAAGCCAAAAACTCAGATTAAGGAGTCATACAATGTGTGAAAGAAGTAAAATAGTGACTTTTGAATCTCACTGACATCTTGGCTGGCTTAACATTTCTTACAAGGACAGACTTCACATTTGCCTCCTTTGAATCTTTAGGGATTACCTTCATCTCTTGGAGATATTGCAGAATCCCTTATATCTGAACAGCTGTCCTGTATTGGCAGATTTAACCAGCAAGGATTATTACATGTGGCAGCTGTTCAGCTATCAAGCTATCAAGCAGGAATTATATCAATGAAGTCTTCTACTATGTTGGCTGGTGTGGGTCTTCCGGGCTGTGTGGCCGTGTTCTTGAAGTTCTGTTTCCTAACG